GGGAAAGGGTTTTATTTCCTGGGGGGCTGGGTGGGAACAGCGGGCAGAGCCTGGCCCGGGCCAGGGAGGCCGGGGAGCCTCGTCCAGTGTGCGAGGGTCAGAGGACACAGTCGCCGGCTCTGGGCTGAGACGGGCACAGGTGTTGTGTTTGACCCCAGCGTCGAGCTCCGGGCCATGCCCAGCGCCCGCTGGCCTGTCCCACCCGCTGCCCTCAGCTGTGCCCTGAGCAGGGCTCTGCCCGGAGCTGCCAGGGACGGAGGGCCTCCCACTGCCTCCCGTCCATAGCTCTTCCCACGGTCCCTCTGTGGGCGCCGCTTGCTCTCCGATGGCCCCAGGTACCAGATGCCCTGACCAGGCGGCTCCAGGTGACATCGCCACCCCTCGGGGTTGTCCTCAGGCCTCTCCCCAGCCGGCCACAGTCGTTGGCGTCTCGGGGGACCGGCTGGTTCCACTGGGGACCTTTCCAGGCAGAACCCTGAACTGCCGGTCCTGCTGGCGGGCACTGGCCCTGTGCTGCGGTGGCTTCAGGATGCGTGGGAACACGGCCGTAGCATCTCGCTGGGAGGATGCAGACCTCGTGTCACCCAGAGTCCTGGGCCGTTGTCCACACGTGTGTCCTGAGGCTCTGTCCTCACCCCGGCCAGCGGGAGGCCCTTTATCCCACTCTGTGGCCGAGAGCCCTGGCCCCCGAGGGCACACGCATTGCCCAGGCACCCGCTCAGGCCCCGCAGGGCTGTGCCGCGGGGACACTGTGGGTGTGACTGTAGCCCCTGGTGAGTCATCAGGAGACAGCGCCGTGAGCGTGCAGTCAGGGCTGGGCCCCTGAATGTGGAGTCCAGCAGGGGCTGAGCTGCTGTGGCCGAGGGCTGGGAGAGGGGATGAGGATCAAGAACTGGCCGGGCCCTGCCAGGTGGCTCAGCTGGTTGGAGCAGCCTCACGTACACCACCAGGCTGCGGGTTCGATTCCCGGCAGGGCACACACCTCAGCTGCAGGTTTGATCCCCAGTTGGGCTAGGGACCCAGTTGGGATGTTTCTCTCTCACATGGATGTTTCTCTATTTCTCTTGCTCTAAAAATCAATAAAAACATATACTTGGGTGAGGATTTAAAAAAAAAAAATTGGCCGGCCCAGTGCCTGGTCCCCAGCAGCTAGTTCAGCCGTGTGACGGGGCCTGGGCCGCCTGGAGGAGGCCTGGAAGGACGAGGTGTGAGGCGAGGATGGGAAACGGGAATGGGGGCCCAGTGTGGATGGGCTGGGAAGTGGGTTGTCCTTCCAGACCCTCTGCCTCCGGGCCCTGCTCTGTGGGCCGTGGACTTGGTCCTCGCGCCGTGGGAACCGGGCAGGGCTGAGGGCACGATTGGCCCAGTCAGGCTCACCTAGAAAGTTCACTCCCCATCAGAAGGCGGGCGGGGGGCGGGGGGTAGGGCTGTGCTGGCTGGGACGTGGCCGGGCCTGGCGTGAGGCTTCCCCTTTGGCCACCGGTGACAGGTGTCTCTGCTCCAGCCCACAGCGAGGTGTGCATGTTGGCCGGTGGAGACAGCTTCTCCCCCAAGACCTGCCCCATGTTCTGCTGCGGCACCTGCTACAACCAGTACTGCTGCTCCGACATCCTGAAGTCCGTCTGGAACAAGGAAGGCTGTGCCGACAATCAGGACAGGTGGGTGCGCCAGGGGTCACGGTGGGAGCACCAGGGGGCACGGTGGGGGCGCCAGGGGTCACGGTGGGGGCCCCAGCAGGGCTGAGCAGGGAAGGGAATGGCCTTGCCCCTCCGGCTTCTCAGCCCTTTCAAGATGGTGGAGGACACCCGGCCCGTGTGGCTCAGTGGAACGTGAGCGTCCACCTAGGAACCAGGAGGCCATGGTTCGATTCCTGGTCAGGCACAGGCCCAGGTTGTAGGCTCGATCCTCAGTAAGGGGCGAGCAGGAGGCAGCCGATACATGATTCTCTCTCATCATTGATGTTTCTCTCTCTCTCTCTCCCCCTCCTTTCTTCTCTGAAATCAATAAGAAATTAAAATTAAAAAAATAAATGATGGAGGGGCATTGGGCCAGGGGGGCTGGACGCCCACACCCTGTTCCGTTCGCCCCTCGCCCGCCCTCCCCTCCCTGGAGGCCCAGCTCACGCAGCCGGGGCTGAGCAGGGTTCCCCGCTGGTCCCGTGCTCACCCTCGGGTGCACTTACACCAGCGTGTCCTCCGGGGGGCACCTGGGCATGTGTTGTATGTGGTTTGTGCAGGTGCCATCTTGTGGGCCCTGGAGGGCACGGGGAGGGCAGAGCAGGGACTGGCCCAGTCAGTGCGCCATGCTGTGCCCTCCTGCTGTGGCCCAAGGATTCACCCTGCACTTTTTTTTTTTTTTTTTAGGTGGGACCTGCTTTATTACGAACAAAGCAGCCCACTTTTTTTCTTTTTTTTTTTTTAGAAAAGTAAAGGTTATTCCTTCATGGGAGTCAGCTGTCCTCACGTGCGACTCCAAGGAGTTTCTGCTTTTCTGAGAGATATTAAGAACTTTCTCTCTCTCTCTCTGTTAACAGATCTTTGGGGCCTTTTAAAAGAAACACATTTCTGCCCTGGCTGGTTTGGCTCGCTGGATACAGTGTTGGCCTGTGGACTGAAGGGTTCTGGGTTCGATTCTGGTCAAGGGCACATGCCCAGGTTGCGGGCTCGATCCCTATTGGGGGTAATGCAGGAGGCAGCCAATCAATGATTCTCTCTCATTATTGATGTTTCTAACTCTCTCTTCCTCTCTGAAATCAATAAAACTATATTAAAAAGAAAAGAAAAACAATTAAAAAAATAAGTAAATAAAAGAAACACATTTCTTCTGGATAAACATCTAGGAGTGGAATTGCTGAGTCATTGAGTGAAGGTGTTCAGCTGTTTTATTAAAAAAAAAGCCCCCCCCTTTTTTTTTTTTTTTTTTAGAAAAGTAAAGGTTATTCATTCATGGGAGTCAGCTGTCCTCACGTGCATTTTGGCAGACTCCAAGGAGTTTCTGCTATTCTGAGAGATATTAAGAACTTTCTCTCTCTCTCTCTCTCTGTTAACAGATCTTTGGGGCCTTTTAAAAGAAACACATTTCTGCCGTGGCTGGTTTGGCTCGCTGGATACAGTGTTGGCCTGTGGACTGAAGGGTTCTGGGTTCGATTCTGGTCAAGGGCACATGCCCAGGTTGCGGGCTCGATCCCTATTGGGGGTAATGCAGGAGGCAGCCAATCAATGATTCTCTCTCATTATTGATGTTTCTAACTCTCTCTTCCTCTCTGAAATCAATAAAACTATATTAAAAAGAAAAGAAAAACAATTAAAAAAATAAGTAAATAAAAGAAACACATTTCTTCTGGATAAACATCTAGGAGTGGAATTGCTGAGTCATTGAGTGAAGGTGTTCAGTTTTGGCAGATACTTCCAGTTTTGTTTTTTTAAATACATACACACACACACACACATGTATGAATGTATTATTGATTTCAGAGAGGGAGAGAGAGAGAGAAACATCAATGATAGAGAGAATCATTGATCGGTTGCCTCCTGCACGTCCCCGACTAGGGATTGAGCCCACAACCCAGGCATGTGCCCTTGGCCGGAATCGAACCCGGGACCCTTCAGTCCACAGACTGACGCTCTATCCATGGAGCCACACCGGCCAGGGCGAGAGAGGACGTTTATGAAGCTGGGACAGTGGAACAAGGAAGGGCTAGGACAGAAAAGCAACAGGAAGGGGCCCAGGCGGGGCTGCCGTTGGCTCTCTGGGAAGTAAGCCGGCGAGAGCAGTGGGCCCGGGCGGGCTGCTTGGCTCATGGGGAAGTCAGAGAAAAGGGGGCCTTGGAGACAGGGTCAGGGTCAGCCCCGGACCAGCTGCTGCCGCCCGTTGCTCCCCTGGTTGCAAGCCTCGTGGGGACCCTTAGAACTTAGGGAGGAAAGAAACCCGCTGAGAAAGAGTGGGGACGACCTGGGGGCTCCAGAGGGAGCCGCTGGCTGCTTCCACTGCTTCCCACGCTGCAGGCTTCACCGAGCTCCTGTGTTCCTACCTTTCGTGGCAGGTCTGCTGGCGTCAGGTTTCCCTGGGCTTTGTTTGTCTGAAAATGCCTTTATTTCCCTTCCTTCTTAAAGGGTGTTTTCTTACGGATACAGACTTCTGGGTGGGCAGTGATCAACGTCTTTCAATACTTTAAAGCTTTTATTCCATTGTCCCCTGATGTCTGTTGTTCCTGTGGAGAAAGCAGCTGACAGCGGTGTTATTGCTCCTTTGCCAGTAAACGTGCCTTTTCTCTGACTACTGTTAGGACGGTCTCTCGGTCATTGGGTTTTCCGCCGTCTTACCGTGATGTGCGAGCTGTGGTTTTCTTTGAATTTATGCTGCTTGAGGTTCACAGTGCTCAGGAGTCATGGGCTTGTTTTTCACCAGCTTTGGGAAATTGGCAGCCACGGTCCCTGTAAGGGTTGCTTCTGCCCCACTCTCTCCTTCCTCTCCTTTTTTTTTTTTTCTCCTTCCTCTCCTCTGCCCCACTCTCTCCTTCCTCTCCTTTTTTTTTTTTCTCCTTCCTCTCATTTTTTTTTTTTTCTCCTTCCTCTCATTTTAGGTCTCCGACTACAGCTGTCAGACCTTCTGCGAACTGTCCTCCATGTTTCACCGACTGAATTCTGTGTTTGCATCGACCATCTCTTTGTGTCCTTGGGCTTCAGTTTGCATATGTTTGTTTTGACCTGCCCTCCAGTTCACAGATTATACCCTTAGCTGTGTCTAATTCTTTCTTTCTTTCTTTTTAAATGTTTTGGTACATCCTCACCTGAGGATGTTTTTCCATTGGTTTTCAGGGAGAGTGGAAGAGAGAGGGAAAGACAGAGAGAAACATGGATGTGAGAGAAACACATCGATGGGTTGCCTCTTACACTCGCCCTGACCGGGGCCCGGGCCGGGGAGGAGCCTGCAACCGAGGTACCTGCCCTTGACCGGAATGGGCCCCGGGACCCTTCGGTCCGCAGGCCGAGGCTCTATCCACCGAGCCACACCAGGGAGGGCTCTAATTATTAATCGGCTGTATTATTTTTTAGTCTTAGAATTTTATTATTATTGTTTTTAATATTTCAAGCTCTCTTGAATTGTTCCAGCTTTTCTTTAACCCCCTTGAACGGTGTGTAGTGTTGTTTAATGTCAGCGTCTGATACCCCGGGGGAAGCCCCCGCATTTCTGTTGTCCGTAGTGTCTGTTGTTTTCTGTTCAGGCTGTCGGGTCGGGCGACCCTGAACATTTTGGATTGTGTGTCTGACATGGCGTCTGCCAAGTTGACTGTAGAAACGTGGAGCTTGGGGTGTCCTCCCGGGGGGACTGCAGGGGCCTTCGTCCGGGCCCCGGGCACTCAGATCAGCCGCCTGATGGCGGAGACCAGAGGGAGGGGGGAAGCCGGGCTGTCTCCTCAGTGTCCCCCGTCCCCGTGGGGGGCAGCTTTCCAGGCTGAAGTCTAAGTGGTCGGCTTCGTCGGGGCCTCCCACCCGTGGGCTCTGGGTTTTGTCCTCCCGCCTGAGGCTTTGGGAGGCTCTGCCCGGCCTCGCAGCTGCCGCCCGACATTGGCGATGCCCCCGGGAGAGAGTCTCAGGTACCAGGCTCACCCCATGGATTTCCCCTCCCAGCCTTCCTGCCACTGGGTCCCAGCTGGGTGCTCCCCACTGTGCCTTTGTTTGCCAAAGCTTGCACACTGACACTCAATCCACTGAGCCAACCCGGCCAGGGTGAGGTTGTTGTTATTTTTAAAATCTCTGTTGTTCCTACAGTCACTTCCCCTTCTTTCATTCTGCACGTTTCTCCTTTGGTATCATTTCCCCTTTTCATGGTTGTGAGTCTTGCCAGATGTCTTCCAGCTTCGGTTCTGTTCCTCTTCTCTGACTTTCTGTGGCTGCTCTCTTTTATCTTTGCATAAGTCCTTCATTCTTTGGGAGTTCGCACTATTTTTTCCCACCTTCTTGAGTTTAATACCATCTCACTATTAAAGTTCTGTTCCTTCAGGATTTATTTAACCCACTGGGTGTGTGTTTTTTTTTTTTAATTTAAATATTTTTGTACCAGATTAATTCGTTTCCAAGGTCTGAGTTATTTTTGGCATTTTTTTTTAAACACTGTGGCATTGTAATCTTCTATTACTGATTTTAAAAAAATATATTTTATTGATTTTTTT